TGTTTTTCACTCAACGTCCTTGAGATCTATCTGAAATGTGCCACATAACACAAAAGAATTTAAAAAACTTTGGATGTAAAGCTATTAGACAGAATTTGAATAGCGCAAACAGAGTGCCATATTAAGTGAGCACACCTATGTATATAATCACCTTTTACAACTATATTTCTTCCTGGCTATTTACACATGAGATACCCAAAGAATCCTACAATCAGTGCATGTCCAGACTGAATGCCCCAGCTGCAGATCATATATGTTTACTACACTGGAGACACGAAGAGCCAAATATTTGATTCTAAAATTGAGCATGTGATAGAACGAATAGGCAGGTAAACACCAAATCTCAGAATACAAGTACCTCTGCTTTTGTTTGTTGTTTTGCCCTCTCTCTGATGAATCATATCCAAATCGAAATGAAAAACTCATGAGCATCCTGCTGTTCATAACTTGCAAAATTTTCTGAATGCTGCCACCAGCTTGAAACAAAAAAAAAGGTTTCAGCAACTACGGTACCGGAAACTTGAGCTTTTTGTGCATCAAAGCAAGATAACACATCCAAAGACCTGATTGTTTCAAGTCTGAATTGAAGATGCTTCGGGAAAAAAAAATTGCAGCTAGATATATGCAAGAAAATAATCAAAGTCAACCTTGTGGCGTGAAAAAGTATTAAGCATCAGGTCGAGCCTTAAAGCATGACTAATGAAGCAAATTTTATCAGGAGGATCTAAAACAAAGCCACTGCGAGCAAACGGAGTGTACCACAAAAACTGAAGTAGAATAGATCCAACTGATTAAATATGTCAATCATTATATTCACGACATTAACGCCTATCTAGTTGCAGAATTAGCTAAAATCAGGGAGTTCAGAGACAGAACAGTTGCATACCTGTAAAGAAACTGAGCGGGGCTATATGGACTGCGATCGCCTGAAAACATGGCCGAAAACATCGTATGAACATCACAGAGCAAACATAGCCGGTCGGTGGCTATTTTCTGACAAGATTCAGGACGATGCTCACCACTCAGGATATAATTGCTGAAAGGAGGAGCATGAAGCAATGCCTGCAATACAGAATTCATGAAGCAAGTGCTTCCCAAATTATTCAATCCCCTCAAACCCGGCGGATAACACGATTTCTCCCGCCGATCGGTCATAGGAACGCCACATTTAGATTTCTTCGGATCCAATGATCCAATGCCTGAAGCTGACCTCCTCCTTTTGGTCAATCTTTGTCCAATGCTTTCATTTCCATAATCATTGTTTGGCGTAACCGCTAAGTGCTTAAACATCACAAGTTGATCAAAATCAGGATCATAGATTTGATCACGGCATAGTCCACAATAGATCTCTGCCCTTGCAGTATCTACAAACATGCTATGGCCAGGCTCAGATTGGGGATGCGCAAGTGTATGATCCAGACAAGCGACTGAAGAGCAAATCAAACAAATATAAAGTCTACCTTCATATCTATTACAGTAATCGCATCTAGGTATCTTTGTATTGGGTTTCTTGACACTAGACTTCCCAGTTGGGGAGGTAGCGAGGAACTTCTGGATCGCTTTGTAACCATTTAAACCGTGTTTGAGCTTATAATCAGCAAGATGCTGGCAAGATTCTGGATTTGCGTATGTAGTAGGGTTTATCTGGAACATAGATGAAGCTTAATTGAACGCTAAACGGATAATAAGAATATAATTATCGCAGAGACGGAAGGTATTGGGGTATCTTTCAGCGATATGATCTAGAAAAGGAAAGCGAATAACTAACACAAGAAATTATTTAACACTGTATCCAAGAAATGAAAGGAAAAAGGAAATCGATTTCGATTAGTTATTGGTCGTTTTCTTGACGAGGGAGATGAAACAACCAAGCTCTACGCTTTATCTGACTATCGGCGTCTGGAGAGAAGACCCAACATAGACGCACAAGTTCTAAGCTTTTTAATTTTCCATCGCCCTGTCAAAAAGGGGAAAAAGAAGGGAGAAAAAAACGAAGGGACCGACTCTCATGACATAAAGCATAAATTAGACTTTTTTTATTACCTTATGGTTTTAACTCATACGTATTCTTTTGGGCCAGTAACTCATACGTATTGATGATTATCTTATACTAGTATAAATTAGAAATATATCGTAAATAATGTCTTCACCTTTAAAAGTGCATTCTCCTTAATTTTCCGCGTTCGGCGTTCGGCGTTCGGCGTTCGGCGTTCAGCCGCAGCTTAACCTGAGGAATGTTCGAAAGAATATGTGTAATTTAGAAATGTGAATACTATACACATATTTTTGATACTAATTATAAGATATCTTTGATTTTTATTTTGTTCTTGTTTCTTATATTTATTTATTTTTTTAAAGTAGTCGTTGTAATAATGATAGTTTTAATCAGTATACTTGATTAACAAAGATATTTTAAGGAAGACAACACCTATTTATTACAAATAACTAACTTAACTAGTTTCCTTAATCTACTCAAATTAATCAATTAATTCTTATATTAAAGATAGGAAGTAGTGCTATATACGGATGATATACGGATGGAATGGAGAAAGTATAATTTGATATTTAGCGTTTAATTATGACTCAATAGAAAGCGGTTGGGTGGGGTGTCTGTTAATTTTACTGCTAAACAGATGCAAATTTCTTGAAGACAGGATAGAATTTCTGGAGAAATCTGACGCTCTGTGAGTACTAATTATCGTCGGAGATGGTAGTCGGTGATCATCTTCTTATTTCCATGGTCTTCTTGGGCTGTTTGGTATATTTGGGCCCTAACTGAGGGCCCAATTAGCAGAACAAGTAATGCGACCGTGAATCTGGGGGTAGACGATTCGTTTCTTTCTCATGGCAAGCTGAAAATTCCGAAAGATGACTCTTGGAAGCGCCAATTTGCCATTTAAAATTCTCAAGCTGCGATCTGTTGGTGCTCCTGCGTTTTCTTTTGAGAGTTCGTTCTTGATCCTTTCATTGTTTGAGTCGCGGATGAAGCTTTTAGTTTTGCGTAATAGACTATCCCGGCAAAAGAATACCAGATAAACTCGGAAGGTGAGATTACTGTTACTCTCTTTTACGAGAGCTCCTCCTCCTCCTCCTCTCGTTCTCTTTTTCATTCTTGGTAGATCTTTCACAATAGTTGGTTTCATTCAGTTCGGTGCGACATTTTTCTTCTCTCCCTCTTCTCCCTCCTCCGCGAGAACTTGTGATTAGCGGCATGGCTTAGAACATAGTTCTACTGACACTATCGAGTCTTCGCGTAATCGGGATAAACGGAGTCTTTTTGTTGGATGGAATGCCCTATAGAGCATGAGCATTTATATCAAAATTCCCGCTTAATATGCGTAACACTGTGGGAAATAAATAAGATTCTTCTTTTCTTTACAAAACAATTTTCCATTATTCCCGACAAGTGCACTTCGTTTTGCGTAGTTGTGATCTGTGAAACTGTGACTGTGACTACACGTTGGCGGGTTTTCTTACCTTCATCTTGAGGCTGTTTATGCCCGTCATTTGTTTAGCGATTCTCTTTGTTCTGATGATCTCAGGTCTGTTATTCCTGGTGTTTTGTGTTCTGTGTATACATAGCGTTAATGCGACGATATTAATTTATATTCCTATTCGTGGATGAATGGACTAGTTTTTTGCATATTTGGAGAAACGGAGATGGATTTTCTTACCTTCGTTCGAACAGTATATGACGTGTATGCTCATTATCTGTCAGCGGAAGTATTTTTCCTGCAGTCCTGATGTTCGCGGCTTCTTAATTCCTGCGGTTGTGTGTTCTGCATATATCTAACAATGAATATGATGATGATTGAAGTCCTTATTCTATGTGTGTATGAACCAGTTGCTATGAGGTGGATATTGACCTCCTACCCTGAAATATATCTATGCAGGAATATGAAACTTTCTAACAAATTCTGGGTGTGGTACAGCGATACTTTTTCTTCAAAATTTTGTATGTCTTGGGAATTTATTCTTGTGCATTAAGAATGTCAAATACCACAAACTTCCAGCTAATTCATTTTATCCTCTAATGGGATTTTACCCTCTTGGTTGAAGGTCTAACGGGTGAGCTGAAACTCCTGTATTTGATCCTAAATACTGGAGAATCGACTGAAATCTCTGGATGATGGCCTGTTCAGAACCTCTAGATTCTGGAGGGTCTATCCTAGTAAATTCCGGTGGCTTAAGGAAGCCTCGGATTCTTCTTGCTGCAAGTGGAAGTGTTGCTGCTATAAAGTTTGCAAACCTCTCTCACTGCTTTTCGGAATGGGCAGAAGTAATAGGAGTTGCCACGAGAGCATCTTTGCGTTTCATTGATAGAACAGCAATTCCCAAGGATGTGATCTTATATACTGATGACGACGAATGGCATAGTTGGAATAAACTGGGGGACCGTGTGCTTCACATTGAGCTTTGTCGATGGGCTGATATCATGGTCATTGCTCCTTTATCAGCAAATACGCTAGGCAAGGTAATCAAAGAAATTTTGGCAGATTTGTTTCTCTACATTGTGTCAAAATCAAAACACTGCATAATAATTTGCTGCATGTAAAAGAATCTGACTTGTAAAAGGCTCCATATTGACCAGTTACATGATGCTGTGTTGGTTCCTATCCATGAATGTATTTGTTCAGTTTTTCAAGTTTACATAGATTTAGCAATCGATGCATATGCATTCAGATGCTTAAGTTGTTGACATGTGAAAACTGCCATTCTGTTCCTTGGCCTTAACCTGAATAACTGCTGTTGTAGATTGCTGGAGGATTGTGCGACAATCTACTGACATGTGTTGTTAGAGCATGGGACTACAGCAAGCCCCTCTTTGTTGCACCAGCCATGAACACTTTAATGTGGACTAATCCTTTCACTGAGCGGCATCTCATGGCCGTTGATGAGCTTGGCATTAATCTCATTCCACCTGTTCCTAAGAGGTTGGCTTGTGGGACTTACGGGAATGGTGCAATGGCTGAAACTTCTACCATCTTTTCAACTGTGAGACTCTTCTTTGAGAAAAAGTCTGAGCAAGGTAATGGTCATATTTAGTGATGGTGACATTGTAGAACTAAGGATGCTTTGGTAGAACCTATTAATTTAATCTCTTTAATTCTTGTATCAGTTTCATCATCTTTGTTTATAGTGATTACGATTCCACTATTACAGGTGTCTATTACAGGAATAAGTAATGGTGCAGTTCGGTGGTGTCTGCCACAGTGTTGCTACCTGATTGTAAACCTTTTCAATCACCGTTGTAGGCGTTTACACACCTCATACACCAGTTTGGAGTTCATATCATGTATCAACAAATCACCATTTTACAAAAATCTTAGCAAACATGTATGTAGATTGACCTCAAATTAGTTGACAATCATGCGGATGATCATAAAATGGAAAAGGGTATGGATTACTTGACGGAATTGCGGATGATCATAGAAGTGATAGGGTATGGATTTTCTGAAGTTGTCGGTTATGAAATACCACATGGCAGATGGTCGTTGGAAGCCGATTAATTCGTCAATTTTTTTAACCCATGGTTTGATAAATTGTATTTTTAAAAGCTAAATACACATTGTGGATCAAATAACGTAAAACCATGACGGCAATCTTCGCTAACTATTCCAGCAAATCACGGTACTTTTATTGTTATTATTTTTTCCAAGCAAAATGGATCTACTTAATACTGCCTCCAAACTACCCAGCTATACTTGAAGGCGCTTCGGTATTCCTTCTGGTCAGCAATTAAAAGGTCATTGTCCGAAGCTCGCGCTATTCCTTCTATGGATTTTCTAATGTCCTTGGTCCTAAATGCGAGATGGCAGATGGTTGTTGGAGCCTTTTTCTTTTTCCTTTTTTTTTTAAAGAAAAGGCAAAATGATCCATATTAGATAATAGAGTTGGAGTACAAAGTTATAGGACAGATATAAATTAAACAAATTAAAGAAATACTCCTTGCTATAGGAATTGAAAGAAACTAATGAAAAGGACCGCAGCAAAAAAGAAAATATCCTGCCAAAGAGCATGAGGGGTGAAAAGATGTATGCTGCTTGGGAATTGGAATCTTTTTGTTAACCGCTAGAATGTTTAATGTATCTTCCTCCGTAGAGATTGGGTTGTTGGGACCTGAATATGAGTTGTTGGTAGATATGTTTCTACCGTTTAACTCTAAGGTTTGGTACATGATATATCTAAAAGTCAAACAGAAGTTGTTGATCAAGTAGCGTAAAAACATGACAGCAACCTGGGCAGTTTTATAATGGGGATTCAAACTTTTTCTCATATGGTGAGAGATTAATATTTTCCCGTTAGATTCAATCATGTTAATTTTATGATTATTCTTTAATTCTTTAATCAAAGTGGATGACTTAAGTGATGCTTAATATTCTTTTCCAAACTATGTGGAGTGGCTTCTCTTCACTTAGTGGGAAAAGAGACCATTGTAACTGCGGCCCATTGGGTTGAATTTAATGAAACGATTTTTAACCCTAGGTGTGAGAGGAGCAGGAAGAAGGGGGAAAATTTAATTTAAAAAATTAAAAAAATGGGACTATAAAATTTCGATGAAGAAAAAATGTGAGATGGAAGAATAACAAAATTAATTAAAAACTTTTCTTTAATTTTTCAAACTGAACTTATTGAAATTTTTTCTCTATTTTTTTTCTCGTCCGCTGTACTAAACAGACATTAAAATTACATGTTAAATCCGTTGTTAAAATTTGAATTTTCAAATATGCTGTAAAGGCAAAATAGAGAGAAAAAGGTCCCAGTTTATCCAACAACTACACTGCGTGCGCGTATGGGTGGTGGTTCTTTCTATTCATACTCCTTGCCACAAACAGTTAGTCCCAAATTTATCAGCAAAAGTTGATCTAATTAATAAGAAATTAGTTTATAATTTACAAGATCATGCGTGAAGACTTTGTTGGTGACCTAAGTGCTCACTGATTAA